GCAGGGGACTTGGCCTCCTCCTTCGCAGGGGACTTGGCCTCCTCCTTCGCAGGGGACTTGGCCTCCTCCTTCGCAGGAGACTTGGCCTCCTCCTTTGCAGGAGACTTGGCCTCCTCCTTCACGGGGGACTTGGTCTTCTCTGGAGCCTTGGCCTCCTCCTTCACAGGGCTTTTGGCCTTTTCCGGGGATTTGACATCTGCAGGGGACCTTGCTCCTTCCTTCACTGGGGTCTTGGCTTCTGGAGACTTCACATCCAGAGTCTTGGCCTTCTCAGGGGACTTGGCTTCTTCTTTCTCTGGGGACTTGACCTCTGCTGGGGACTTGACCTTGTCTGGGGACTTGACCTCTGCTGGGGACTTGGCCTTCTCAGGGGACTTGATCTCTGCAGGGGATTTGACCTTGTCTGGGGACTTGACCTCTTCCACGGGAGACTTGGCCTTCTCTGGGGACTTGACTTCCTCCCTTGCTGGACTCTTGGCTGTCTCGGCAGGGGACTTGGCCTCAGCTGGTGATTTTGCTTCTTCCTTCACTGGGGATTTCACCTCCTTTTCTGGGGATGCGGCCTCTTCTGCTGAGGGAGATTTTGCTGCAATTGCTTCTGCTGCTGCTTCTTCTTCTTTTTCTTCTCCTGCCTCTTCTGCTTCCTCCTCTTCTCCCCCTTCTTCCTCTTGGACCTCTTTCTCCTCTTCTTCAGTCACTTCTTCAGTCACTTGGATCTCTTCTGTCTGTTCCTCCACAATCACAGTTTCCTTCTCTGACTTTTCTACCACCTTGATCTTCTCTTCACTTTTGACTTTTATGTGAGTGGATGTAGAGGGAATTTTCGGGAGTCCCTCTGGGAGAGAGAAAGGACTGGGGCCAAAGCCAATCCGACACTCTTCGCCTTCCAAGAGTTTTCTGTAGAATGGATAACAAAACACATCACTACTAACTCAGAGCACATTTGGAGGCCTGGGATCTTCCTTGGTTTTCCTGAAACTCTAGTATCCAATGCTGCAGACTTTGGTAAAGGAAAGGATGTGAGTGGATGGTAGGGTTTTCTTCCTTAACTTCTTTCTTCCTTTCTTAGTTTTGTTATTTTTTTCTCCTTTTACTATTGATAGGAATCTTAAACTTATTTCAAAAGGTGTTAAGGATGGAACTATGTTAAGCACACACTCTACAACTGAGCTACATTCTCCACAGTAGGCACTTTGAAAATGGAGAAAGTCACTCAGCATATAAAAACTCTTACCTTAAAGAAGGTACATTTATTATCCCTTGAATAAAATATTCAAGGGAAGATAGGCTCTGAGGGCTACTGCCTGTAATCCTTGTTACTTAGGAGACTGAGATGTGAGGATTCTGGTTTAAAGCTAGCCCTGGCAGGGAAGTCCTTGACACTCTTTTATTTTATTTTTGTTCTGGTCCTAGAGCTTAAATTCAGGACTTAGTCACCGTTTCTGAGCTTCTTTTGCTTAGGGCTGGCATTCTACCACTTAAGCCAGCTTTTTCTGTGATTAATTGGAGATAGGAGTCTCACAGACTTTTCTGCCTGGGCTGGCTTCAAACCATGATTCTTAGATCTTAGCCTCCTGAGTAGCTAGGATTGCAGGCTGTGATCCACTGGAACCCAGCTTCTCCTTAACACTCTTATCTGTAATTACCCACCAAAAAGCCCAAAGTAAAGGTCTGGTTCAAGTGGTAGAGTACCAGCTTTGAGCAAAAAGCTAAAGGACAGTGCTTAGGCCCTCAGTTCAAGCCCCAAGCTTAGTACTGGCACCAAATGTACATATATATTATATTCACATATGTAAATATAGATATAGGTATTTAGAGGAGAAAACTAGGAATCTAGAAGTACTAGCTGTGTGTTTTTTGATCCTCAGGATTGAAGGAAAATAAAGAAAAAAAACTAGAACAAATAATCCCAATTATAAATTTAGATTTAAGAAGTCTTAGAATGTTGCCAATTGAATTTTTCCTGTCACTTTTTATTGTTCTATTCTGGGTTTAGGGAAAGGTGGTAGTAGCAGTTTCTCCTCTTGGTTTTCCTGCTTACTAGGTGTCCATACTCTTAAGAACTCCATTTCTTCCTTGTTTTAAAGAGAGAGAAAGAAAGACAGCACTGGTGGCTCACAACACTGGATCACAAAATTGCACTGGTTAAATGGCAACTTTTATGTGACATATAGGACCAAAATAAATAAAGACTTGTCTCTAATGCAAGCAGGCTGTCCACATAGGACTTGAAATCCAAGGCTTAGTGCTTTATCAGAACCCAAGGCTCTCCACCACCCCAGGATTCATGGTCCACTCACCTATAAGCAGCAATTTCAATATCCAAGGCCATCTTGACATTGAGTAAGTCTTGGTATTCCCGCAGCTGGGCCGCCATCTCCCACTTTGTATTCCTCAGCTCATTGTCCAACTGCTGAATGGCTTCCTGGAGATGACAGGTCATACAAGTCACTGGCCAGCCAGTGCCTGGCCCCCAACACCAGGGAAGCTGGGGTCCATAATAGCCCTGCCCAGCTAGCTAGGCCCACTGGGGACCAAACCCCATCCCATCAAAGTAGCAGGGTCTTCATTTGTGGACATGAAAAAATTTGTAGCAAAAAATCTTAGCCTGGAGAAAGGTCTAGAATGAAAACACATCAGACATGGATCTGATCAACAGAGTGAAGTTTTATAGATCTCGTAAGCTTAGAAAACGTTTCATGACTGGCTCAAGTAGTAGAGAGCTAGCCTTGAGCAAAAGAAGCACAGGGACAGTGCCCAATCCCTGAGTTCAAGTCCCAGGACTTGAAAAAAAAAAAAGAGGTAGTTTATAGCTGGGCACCAGTGGCTCATACCTGTAATCCTAGCTACTCAGGAGGCTGAGATCTGAGGATTGCAGTTCAAAGCCAGCTTGGGCAGGAAAAGTCCATGAGACTTTTCATCTCCAATAAACCACCAGAAAACTGGAAGTGGTGCTTTGGCTCAAGTGGCAGAGCACTCTCCTTGAACTGAAGAGCTGAGGGACAGTGCCCAGGTCCAGAGTTTGAGCTCCAGGAGCGACAAAAACAAAAAAGTTTCATGAAAGCCAGACACTGGCGGCTCACGCCTGTAATCCTAGCTACTCAGGAGGCTGAGATCTGAGGATAGAGGTTCAAAGCCAGCCTGGGCAGGAAAGTCAATGAGATTCTTATCTCCAGTTAACTACCAGAAAACTGGAAGTGGAGCCATGTCTCAAAGTGGCAAAGCACTAGCCTTGATCAAAAAAAGCTCAGAGGCAGCACCCAAGCCTTGAATTCAAGCCCTATGACTAAAAAAAAAAAGAAAAAGAAAAGACAAAAAAAAGAAAATGTTTCATGAATGGTTCAGGGATTGTAGCTCAGTAAAGGGCATTTGCCTAGCTTGTACAAGGCTTTAGGATTTGATCTCTAATACTGTAAAACAGACAAACAAAAATGCTCAGAGGAAGAAGAGTCACAATTGCTTTTCCTCTCTCTTGTTTCTCTCTCCAATACCCCAATGTTCCTAGCACATGGTACACATTTGTTATCACTGACCTGGTACATGAGATGATACAACAGAGCATAAGAAGAAGTTAAAATTTCCTTTACTCCAAGCTCTCTATGGCCATTGCTTAAAATGATCTATTTTTTATTTTCTTCTCTTTGTGTCTCTGTCTCCTAATGTCTCTACAATCATCAAGTATTCGTTCTTTTTTTTTTTTGGCGGTCATGAGGTTTGAACTCTGGGCCTGGGCACTCAGCTCTTCAGCTCAAGGCTAGCACTCTACCACTTGAACTACAGCGCCACTTCCGGTTTTCTGGTCGTTTATTGGAGATAGGAGTTTCACAATCTTTCCTGCCCTGGCTGGCTTTGAACTGTGATCCTCAGATCTCAGACTCCTGAGTAGCTAGGATTACAGGTGTGAGCCACCAGTGTCCAGCTTCCTTGTTCTTTTGAGAGTAACATTTTCGCTTACAGTTTGTCTTTAACTGGAGGACTCTGCCAAGACCCCTCCCACAGGCACTGGTTACTATGAACCCAATGTCCACTGTGACCAAGACCTGGCTGAGCACTCTCAGGTTTGTCTCTCTTTTAGCCTTCACAGCTTGGCAAAGTGGGTATTTGGTTCCTTTTGTGTTTCTTCTCTGCATTCTAATTCAGACAGGCAGGTAACTCTCCTGGACTCACCCATCTAGAAAGTAGTGGAAAGGCCGGGCGCTGGTGGCTCACGCCTGTAATCCTAGCTACTCAGGAAGCTGAGATCTGAGGATCGCGGTTCAAAGCCAGCCCGGGCAGGAGAGACCGTGAGACTCCTATCTCCAATAAA